AAATGTTTAATTATTATATTTTTTTTTTTTTTGAACGAATCTTTATCGTCTTTTGATTATTATTTGAATAATTTACATAATACGATTCCATGCAATCATTTTTAAACTTATTAGGATGTAAATAATATTTATTTCGTCCACCATGGATGTTTTCAAACGGAAGATAAATCAAATCTGTCAGCTTTTGATCATTTCGAGTGGTCTAAAATACCAAGGTAAGCTAAAACCCTAACGAACGGTTAATTCCACGTAAAGACATTCATTGTTGTATAGCTAAATATTCATGTAGGGGTAAAATCCATTAATGTGAGGCCAGATTTTAATCGATGTAGAATTTGAGCTTTTTTCAACTAAAATCAGGTTGTCGTATCGCGTATTTTTAACAAATTTTTTTAAAAGAGCTATGTTTGCATATTTTTATAATAATATAATAATAAATCAATCTTAAAAATATTCCGTTGATTTGCAAGTTTTATTATTATGCAAGATATTAATATATCATATTTTGCATCATTGTTAAAAAAAAAATTTCTCTCATTTACTTACCCTTAAAAATCCAAGTTGAAAACATAGTTTTGAAAGGCTTTCAAAGCACAAATATGTTGCTTGTGTTATGGATTTGTGGTATATAAAAAATTAAATTCAACCGGAAAATGGGAGAAAGATTATCTTGACCGTCATGTTCGAGGTTCTGGATGTAAAGCAGATGAATGACAAAATATAATTTATAGTTAAATATATATATTGTATTTTGCTTATAAAAAAATTAGCAAAGAATGGTTTAACGTTGAAGACTGGGTTAGCCTAAAATCAAAGGCCAGAATACTAATTTACTTATTTCTTTACAATTATCTAATGTAATATACTAACTTTCTGTAACGATCTTACAAAAAACTTTTGCGTAGAGCTATTAGTAAAAAATTCCAAAGTCGTCTTACCTCTACATATATATTTCGGGGTCCTGCTAAGCGAACTACGATTCCCGATTGAATATTTGCTTCGTCCACCATGAACGATTGGCAATCAAAGATAAAGGCCCTCGAGATAAGCCCACAAAAATTTGGTCATTTTAATAATTTGAAAATACCACTGAATACTATGTAATGTATAGCTAAAACAAAATATGATTCCCGATTAAATATTCGCTTCGCTCAGCTCTGACATTTTGAACAAAATAATCGTTCCTAAAGTAAGCGATTTTTGGCTGTGTGGAATATTCTAAAATATGACAACTATTGTAATGCATGGATATAAAACGACGACGATGTGTAATATTTATTGGAAAATAAAATATTTCATCCATTTATAATGTCCATTGCTAACTAAATATCATTGGTTGACCAAATTTAGAAATAATCATCATCGTGCGGCGTCTTTTATTATTATTTACAAACAACAAAATGTCATTTCTGCTTATTTAAAAGAGTACCATCTATACTTTTTAGGAAGACAATAAATTGATGCAATTATAAAGCTCCACTTACAAATCTTGTGTTTCAGTTGACAAACGAAAACAATAACATAAATGCGAATGAAAGATGTCCTATTGGAAAGAGTTAGATAAAACTTTATTCTACGCCTAAAAATAATCTTATATTGATTGCTAAATTGCTTTGTTTGATTATTTAATTTTCACAAGTATGTTTTTAACGAGAAAAATTCATAATCTCTTCTATTTGTAAAAAAAAGACAAAAATGGTTTAAAATCTCAACTTTCCAAAATACCAATCATTGCAAATTAAAACCGATTATTTTTCTACTATCGGAATTTAAAAAAACGAACAGACGATTCTACTTGACATGTAATATTTATTGGAAAATAAAATATTTCATCCATTTATAATGTCCATTGCTAACTAAATATCATTGGTTGACCAAATTTAGAAATAATCATCATCGTGCGGCGTCTTTTATTATTATTTACAAACAACAAAATGTCATTTCTGCTTATTTAAAAGAGTACCATCTATACTTTTTAGGAAGACAATAAATTGATGCAATTATAAAGCTCCACTTACAAATCTTGTGTTTCAGTTGACAAACGAAAACAATAACATAAATGCGAATGAAAGATGTCCTATTGGAAAGAGTTAGATAAAACTTTATTCTACGCCTAAAAATAATCTTATATTGATTGCTAAATTGCTTTGTTTGATTATTTAATTTTCACAAGTATGTTTTTAACGAGAAAAATTCATAATCTCTTCTATTTGTAAAAAAAAGACAAAAATGGTTTAAAATCTCAACTTTCCAAAATACCAATCATTGCAAATTAAAACCGATTATTTTTCTACTATCGGAATTTAAAAAAACGAACAGACGATTCTACTTGACATGGATGTTATGCCTTTTTTCTTTGTGGAGTTTATGAGGCATAAAAAAAAAGCGTAAAACAACAAAAAAGCATCGTGTTCGAGCAATAATTATTATTATCCGAGTCCAACAAGCCAATTTTGTCATGAGGAATAACTTTTACTTTGCATAATATTAGTTATCGCGTGGATTTTTAAAAGGCTGACGAACTCTAATTGATTATCTACTATCCGAATCTGAAATGTGTATATAGACGAATTGGGTTTTTACTTAGTACGCGAGGCTTGGTTTTTTTTTGTTTTAAATATGAAGTTCACGAAGACAAAGTTATATACAGTGTGTAAAATGAACGGATGAATAAAAAATTTATATATAATTTAAAATTGTTAATTTTTCTTTACTAACCTATATACTTCACATTCCTTCTTCTAACAAATGAACTTTCTTGTGATTATTTCCAAGATTCAAATTATTCTCACAAGTATTAGCAAAATTATGATAACAATAAAGTTTATCATCAATACTGTTAAATAAGTTGTAAATGATCGAAATATATGAATTTTCATGAAATCTACCATCATGGCATATCAGTT